TTTTAATTGTTATTTAATTGTATAATAAATCAGACGACAAGTGATTTGATTATATGCTTGTATACAATGGGCTTAAATGTGAGTTCACTAAACAATTTGAAGCAAAACCAATACTTGTCTAAATTGGTGTCCAATGAGCACATGTCAACTGATCCCACGAACGAAGACTTCTGGAATCAGTTGTTGTCTTTCGCTTTCGACAATTTGCCACAAATTTGGTATTAGTTTTATTTAGTATTGAATTGACAATCATTTTAATGATATTGTTTTGCCATTATTTCTATAGTAATGATCAAAAGTTTTTCGATGAAAACATAAGTCCATTGCTTTCGAGTCTAATTGAAAACAACTTGAATTCACATAATATCGGATCAATTGTTCGCATATTAATCAGCAAAACATCTCAATTGAAAGATGGCAAGAGTGAGGATCAGAGGTATGCATGAGTTGGATGTGAGACTAGCATTGAAATGATGTGTTGATATGATTTGTCAAACAGTTTCAATCTGATTGTATGGCAAACATATAATTGTCTTTTCATCACACGTTTGGCCGCAAAGTATTTAATTGAAAGCCACACCGAAGACAATATCATTCGCCACTTCACCGCCAAAGTGGACACAAATGATAAGAAATCTGAAGAGTCGGGTCTTGTGATTATTGAACAGCTATTGATTACATTGATTGAGGTCTTAGTTGACATTCCTTTGAGGTAAACATTTGATGACATTTAGTGATAACTGTATTAATTGCTAAAACTCTGGCAGTGATATGACATATAATCTGCACTTAGAGGCCATGAATGGTCTGCTGGTGCTGTTGTCAACACAGATGTATTCGGCGCGTCCGGCAAACAAGTCCTCAATCTATAGATTAGTGATGCAAAAGAAGTGTGCGATTCATGCCTTACTCTTAACCAAAAGTCTGTTAAACAATTTTATGGACCAAAGACCGGCGCCTGTACTCCAGGGCGGGAGTATTATATTGGGTTTGGCGTCCGGCCTCTGGAATGTGCTCACTCTGGGCTATGGCAACAAAGGGACAGAAAGCGAGAGTCCGGCCCATCTTTCACGACAAAGTCTTCTTCTGCTGCTGGTGTTGACCAATCACTGCACCACTGAAACCAATCCCTACAGAGAAGCGCTGTTCAATTGTTGTGATTCCCAAATGGATTCACAAATAGCTGCCGATCAGACGGTCACTGGATTTAAGTTAGAGTTCGCAAAACTGTATAAAACTCTTTGCTTAAC